TTTTATATATTATATATTTTTTATATATTTATATATAATATATATTATATATATATTATATATATATTTTTAATTATAAATAGTATGCATACAAAAGAGAAGGAAAAAATCCAAATTGATCTGAATAAAATTGCAAGTGTTTTAGAAAGTGGTTGATTGAATTCTACCCCATTTATTGCAAGGTCTGAAGTTTGGGGAAGGAGCAAGAACGGAAACGTTTTTAAGGCCAGGGGGGACAGGGGCTGCAGTTTCATTTAAAAGGGAGAAAGACCTGAGGTGAGTATATGCCATATACCCCGAGATTTCCGCCTTCTGAAACCCAAAATGTTCCCTGGCAAATCTTAAAGTCATTTGGGGGCCCTTTATACAACATGGTTGGCTCATCCTGGAGTATGTAGCCCCAAGTGGAACTCACGTAAAAAAAAAGGGCATGTTAAAAACGGGGAAAAAAGTGCGATGTATGAACTGGGTTATTCCTGTGCTAAAGGGCATGAGCGAGGAGAGGCTAAGGTTTTTATCTAATGAATTAAAAGGACAGAAAAACCCAGGGGAAACATAACATAAAAAATACTCAGGTTTTTGGAGACGGAAAGGGGAAAACTTGGGGACAACGTTGGAAGTTAGTGACAGATGACCACAGGGAAGTTAGAAAGATTTCTTTTGTCGGGAAGGAAAGGGGTGTTTATTATTTTAAACAAAGCGCTAACACCAGGGTCAACAGCGCTAGGAAATGGTGGAGGCAATTCCCTACTATTTTTAAAGAGTATTTATTGACGGGCCAAGGGGAGTGAACCCAGAGTGGTATTTTAAGAGGCGGGCCGAATCTGGAATTGCCCCTGAAACCACAAAAGGCGGGAGAGCACACAACAACACAACAAACACAACCACACACACAGTATATGCAATAGCTTTTTCTAACCAGTAAGGTGAAAACAAATGAAATTTTTGCCAGTAGCAATAATTTTTCTCGTTTTCATGGCCCCCTTAAAGGGTGTGTTGGAAAAGGCAAGATTTACGAGGCAGCAAATGAAAAAAAAGTGATAAAAGTGGGGTAGAGTGAACAGTTAGGTTGTGGGGGGTGTCAGGCACTCACAACTTGCCACAGCTTTGGTATTTATTTTTTTTTTTTCTAAGTCCCTAGTCCTCCGAATGTTCTCATTCGTGCAAACAAAAGGGAAAAAAAAAAAAACCCGCATGTGCGCGTTTTCTCATGTAGGGGCCCCGGGCTGAGTCGCGACCCGGCAAACCAAAATTTTAGCGCGCCGCACACACACAAAGAGGAGTCAGGAGCTGAGGAACCCCCGCAAAAACAGTTTGGGAATACACCTATGGGAAAAGGGAAGAGCTTCCCGTATCTGGCATTTATGATTGGGATGTAAAAAATGAAGAGGCGTGACCCAAGGGGGTAGCTGAAAGTAGTGTTTTTGTGTTTGGGGTATGATGGAGTGGTGGGCGGAGGCTGAGAGACCCCGTTTAAAAAAAAGATATGAGACCCAGTTTTAAAAAAAAAAGATTGTGGAAAACAAGCGGAGCACCCAGAGAGTAAAAAACGGTGGAGCTGAGGTAAAAGAAAAAAATAAACTTAAACCGCGATATTTACAAAGATTAAATTTGTTATAATTGAGAGGTAGTTAGTGACTATTTTGAAATGTTTGTGAGAGCCCCAAAGGGGTCAGCCGTTGGGCGGGAAACCCGAACCTCCCTCCCCTACGTCCCTAGTGGGCGGACGTGGATGGGGCTCAACCCCCACACATCCCCTAGGCCCGTTCTAGTGTCAGCCAACCCGGAAGCCCTTTTCCCTTTCATAATGCCCCGTCCCCCCGCTACACTACAAAGTTCAAAAAAAAGTCATAAGGAGAATGAAGCAACGCGGTTTTAAACATCCCCGACCCACAGGGAAAGGACATGAGGCTAATATAGCCAGTATTAACAACTGCCGCAAGTAATGGCGGCCTGGGGAAAGACTCTACCGAAAAGGGTAAAAATCCACAAACGAAGCCTCGGAGAGGCTGGGGTACCTTTGATTTAACATCGCCCCAAAAGCTAGACGACTTGGTTCTACCATCCTTGTTTATGGCACTTGCCAATACACCTGTGGCCACACTAAAACATTTTCTTACCGTCAAAACAACTGTATACCATCCAAATGCAAAAGTGTAATAAACTCTGATCAGTGGTGAAAACGAAGCAACGTATAACCCATAAACAGACGTTAACTACTGGACGTTTTCGGACTCTCACGGAGGTACCTCTCAGCAGTCTTCTCAAGAGGGTCTTAGTACTCTTCTGTTTTATTGACGCCGTTTGGATTTACTTGTACCATTTACATTCATGTACGAAACCTGAAGTTAATAGCAGAAGAGGCAGGGAGAGCATCGGTTTTCCCTGGAGTGTTATGCGAGGCTAGATGGTGCGTCAAGTGCACGCTCTAGCGCTCTTCAGACTTTTCCCTATCCTGGCCTGCGGCCACCACTCCACCAGGGACACTGCTGTCATTAATCCTAAATGACCCCACAATGTTACCGCTGCGGAATGTGCTTAAGGAGACGCTTTGACTCTGAGCCTGAGGCTGTGTACCTGGAAAGCCCCAACTGAAACGAAAATGTTCAAAAAAAAAAAAAAAACGGACCAATATGAGTCATCTGCGTCTCTCTCAATCTCTAATACTGAAATTAAATTTTTCGTTTCGCACTAATACTGAAGTTTACCAGGGAGTTTACTGACTAGCGAGTGTCGTCGCCACACTCGACAACTAACACTTATAAACAATTTTAATTAAGAGGACCAGGGTTAAGGGAACATTGGTGTAATAAAAAGAAACAACAGATTGGCCATGGGAGTGTAAGGAAGTACTTCCTAAGCTGTGACAAAAACAATGGAATGAGTTTGATGTAATAAGACAAGTTCAGTACATAAATTCAAGGTCCAAGAAGACAAAGTAATACTGTTCAAAGTTCAAGTAGCATTGCCAGAAGCTGATCTTCAACCATAAACACTAATAGATGAGCACAAGTGGTGAGAGGAGCCTGGGTGGGACGCTGGGATTATTAGTGATGTCCGCGTTCAACTCTCCTCACTGCTGCTTCACACACTGAAACGAAAAAAATTGGTACTTGCTAGGATGTCTGCAATAATACTACTTATGAGGTGCATTACCACATTAAAAACAATTGTACGGTAATGTGGAGAACAGAAAAATATGTTCATGGAGAATAGCTAAACCAGTAGGGGTCATTGTCTTGGGAGAATGGCGTAACCACAGTCATAGTGCCTGGAAAGAATGAGGTAACCAAGTTTGATCCAAGAAGGTAGTTTTAATTCCTTGGATCAAGATCCGTTTACTAGCATCAAAATACCCAAGATCGGCTAACCAGCCTTCAGTCAAGTGATAAACCAGTATTTTTTGCTTGTTATTATCACAAACAGATGAACTTAGTGTTACCCATAAAATGTTATAGTGAACGGCTTACATTATGGCTGAAAATTATATCAATGAAATACTTTTAAGATGTATTCTCTAATGTCAAGTGACTTAACAATCTTATTTCCTTTCCCAGCAGGTTACTCTCAGCCCTCTTGTGGAAAATGTAGAGTGACTAAACGCCGCCTTAAACTGAAAAAATACTGCAGGAGAGACTATGGTAAGTGATCCAGCCCAAGACATGTTTTGTGTTGGGGGGGGGAGGAAGTTGGGGTCGAAAGAGTGAGTTGGGAAGCAAATGTTGTGGTGGCAGGCAGAATTTGTGATTATTGTTAGTTGATTTTGAAAGTAATGATGAACGAGGATGCGAGATCATTGTACAACATACAAATTTGTGATAAAATCTAAAGGTTTAGGTCCGTCCTGGGTCATTAAGAAATCCACGACTTGATAATGTTTTAGAATTAATCACAGCCTCATTTAGTTCAGCTGTTTCAGAAATGGTAGTGCAATCATTAATATACATAATAAATATTGTGGGCATCAGTAAGGCTATATAGGGTAAGTATTAATATCCTCACAAGACTAATCAGTGTTGTGTTTACAGCACTGGTGGCGCGTGTGTTCAACAAGGAGGTGCTCGGGGAATACACCCGGTTCGATATTCAGGTGACGAATGTATTCAAGAGGACCCGGTCTGACAGAGTGCGGCGGGGTGGCGACCAGCTGTGGGTGAGGAACGAAGACCTCACTTGCAAGTGTCCAGACATCAAGATGGGCTAGTAAGTACCCGGGCTTCTCCTGCGGCTCCGTGTTCTACACCGACAAGTGCTGTAGCCAGGACATACGCTACTCCACCTATGGTTAAAATGTTATTTTAGTGAATCTGATACAAATTTATTCATAATTATCTTGCCTAAACTTAGTAAAAATATAATTATTAATCATGACTTTCAGTGTTTTCAACGAGAAATGTCTCGGTAATAAATTTGTGCTACTTCCTTTTTAGCGAGTACTTGATCCTCGGGAGGAAAGAGAGGAAGCAGCGTCCTGGTTTAGTCATTAATCGCCAGAGTATCATCATCCGCTGGCGAAACAACAAACAACTACGCATGCGACGCTTCCTGAAGAAGGCCGCGAAGAAGTGTCGGCCGTCGAGGTACTGAAGAGGACGTGGTCTGTCACGACGTGCACGAGACCACACTCGTGGTCCAAATCCTCTTCCTAAGGAAGAGAGAAGTGGGTAATGTGTGATCAGATCCGTTGCTTATTATGCAAAGGCATAATAGATATCAGTACAATGGTTAGACGAGAGAATGAGATATCTGGCAAAGATAAGCAGGTGAGAAACGAATGTGGGGCGAAGGAACTGAAGTGAAGGGAGGGGACAAAAGTGAACGGAAATATAGTCATTGAGGGGTTGTGGCATGTCCATAAATCGCGGAGAAAAAAAATCGTAATGTGTAAAAGCTGTTTAGTGGAGCCCGGGACTGTATTAACAGTAAGTCGGGCTGCGCTGCATATCACTCTTAGCTTAACACGTAGAGTAGAGCAGCGACTGGGCTGCCGACGAGTTGACTGCGTTGTATCAATGTTCACCAATGTCAGACTAATATTTGTTCGAATTCTTAATGGCAAGTCAGCCATTGTACTGCTTTATGCTCTCTTATAGTGTACGTTTTTTTTTCAATAGTGTACATAACGACCACATTTATGTGTGTTCATTAAATAAATAATGTTCATATTAACAGAAAAATATATATCCAGATAGATTTAGTCGAGTCGACACACACCTAGACCAAAAATGCCAAACTGTGACCCAACTGCAACAAAAAGTTTTTCTCGCTATAGCAAAGAACTGGAAAGGCAGAAAATCCTTGTTAATAGTTTCCTCATTAAAGCGAGGGACTGGAAGAGGAAGATCTCTGTCACCTATTTTCTCACTGTAGGGAGGGACTCGTGGGCAGCCAGAAGATTGCACTTGGTGCCGTGAAGTGTTCTTGGGGGCGTGTGTTGACAGGGTGCCCCAGACAAGGGGCGTTTGGTTGACAGCTTGACGGGAGCCACCTCACCCGTCACACAAGTTCCTAATTTGACTAGGGCCGTTTACGAATGATTTTGAGAGGGATTCGAGCACAGACGTCATATTAAGTTTTTGATCCCACTCAATTATTTCAAGCGGCAATACTACCACTAATATTCTATTGCGTCAGTCTTGGATGAAGGATAGGAAGGTGGAGAAAGAGTTAAAATTTCTTCATATTTTGCTAACATTCATAAAATTTTATTGTTTACTATAGAAAATATTGAGATTAAAGTCAAATTAGAATCTTACTAATGAAAAGGGTTAAAGAAATGCTGGTAGATGAAATCCAGGGCTGACGGAGAATATTGTAGGATGTTGAAGTAATGCTGTAAATGTTGCCGTCTGTGTGGGTACTTAACACACACCTCTCCTGCTTTAAGGATACATCACTTTGTACTGAGGACACGCATCACTAGACCGCACTGCACACCCTCATATGCATCTCTGTATGAAAACTTGTCAAGTCAGGTAAACTACTTGGTGTATGTAGTACTGGTTATGCGAATGAGCTTTTATTGTAGTGAGGTGTATTTATATAGTCATTAGCTGTATACACATAGGGAGCATAGTGTCCGAGTACTGTGGGGGTGGTGCTGTGTTAGTCTAATTCTGTGCTGCGTTGTCTCTGTACACTTTTTACATTTATCTTATGTACAAATTTCTCTGTGTAATTAATTATTTTATTTAAACCTAAATACTTTGCCCATTAGTATGTAGGCCAATGGTACATAAGTACTAAGAAAATTATTTATGTTGAGCTTAGAGCATCGGAGGTAAATAATAATAGGGTGGTATTTTATGAATTATCTGTCTAGTTCTTCAGCACACTTATGCTCTCTTATAATTAATGTAACGCAAAAAGTTCAACATAAACGCTGATTATTGCCGGAATCGGAATAACGCACAGTAAATAAGCGAAGAATTTGGGTGTGTGTCCTGTGTTGAATGCAACACAGTGGTTCAGTCATATTAAAACTAATACAACTCGTATCTGAAGCACAATTTCAAAAACTGTTGTAGCCGTTATGTCTCGATACAAATTTATTTGGGGAGAAAAATGACAATCGCAGGGGATTGCGCGTTAGGATAAATTTCAAAAAGATCTTTTGAGTTATGTACGGCGTATTTCCTTAGACTTGTATAAAAAAAAAGGATGACTGTAAACAATTCTAAATATAAAATTCACATTAGTTTGACAATGCAGGCATGAGTATATTTGATAAATTACCCCTCAAAATAATTATACTTATGTACTAGCAACTTTATCACAGTTGCATAGTAGTACTAGTAGTAATATGTGGGTGATAATGGGATGAGGGACAAGAAACTGTCGAGTAATCGTTCAAATAGCTGATGCACTATAGTCATACAAGCCAAAGCTTCCATTTTTGGTTAGGCTTGATCGTTACTCAGCTGATGGCTTGCAATTTGAGTGTTAACATCGTATTGCCAGGTGTAGGCTGGAGACCACATTACACCATGAATAAAATTTATTTGCTTAATCCTGTGTATACTATATAACACCCTCCTCCGACACTAGGTGGGACATACGCTCTAATGTAACTTATGACCCGTCACGAACTTTACTAACGTTGGAAATATTCAAGAAATAAAGAGGTTTTGACAGACGAGTCGTAATATAACCATTTTCTTTTATGACCGTCATGGCTAGGACACCAAACAAGTTTTGTCCATTAAGTCTTAGCACAAGCAGACTTTTGGCTTTTTAAAGTTATCAACTCAGTCAATGTACACACAAGGAGGGGACGTAAATAGCGCTACTTACATGCCACAAGTCTATAAAAATATAATCTCAAGAAAATTTACTCATGCTCTAAACTACTATATAATTACTGTATTATCATAATCAAAAATGAAGCGCCAAACTATAACTACTGTAAAAAAAAACAGAAAATTAATATTTCATGTAAGAGAATAAAGAGCATTGATTTTAATGTATTTTTAATAAGAGTTAAGCAATATTATGACTGTGCAGACAAATCACACACAACGTAGGCCTACATGTTAGCTTACTTGAGAAATAGAATTTGATATGAACTTTACTAGAATAATTTAATTTATACCTCAGAAGAAATGCAATCAAATAGTGTGTATGGATTTTTCCACTGTAGATGAATTCAGTATGTTGTAACTTGCGTTTGTATTTAAAATTTTATGTAATTGATGTTCAAATTAAGATTTACTTAAGATGTTATCAAGCGCGCATATTGGTTTCGATGCTGTAGCCGCAGTGGGCACTGAGACCCGAATGTTAGGCCTACTACTGCCACAGCAAGTGAGAGGTGCTCACTCGCATTCCCACTCTGTCATTGGCTAACTTATATTTCTAATTCGGCTCTTACTGTCTCACGATATAGTCAATCACACATGCTTAAGCCTGCTTTGTAACTAGTCCTATTGGCTGCAAGTGCATCAAAGCTGCAATTCATCCGTACACAAGATCACGAGTACCGATGTACACACCTGAGTGCGCGAGCGCATGGGAATTATATATAATTTTGGCAGGTATGAAAATTAAATCTTATGACGTTTATTGTAAAGTCTATCAATATTTTGGCGATAAATCTATCACCATCATTAGGTTTCATTTCTGTAACATGATATAATGTATAAACTTTAATATATGATAGAAAATACAACATTATAAAACATGAGAAAAGTAAAAAAAAAAATGGATAAACCACCTCCCAAAATTATCATTCTTTAAGCTCAATCTTGTCATGTATGTGTGTGTGTGTGTGTGTGTGTGTGTGTGTGTGTGTGTGTGTGTGTGTGTGTGTGTGTGTGTGTGTGTGTGTGTGTGTGTGTGTGTGTGTGTGTATGCGCGCGCATATGACAGGATTGACCTTAATGATAATTTGGTAGGTAGCAAAGGCTAAGAGATCTTAGGACATGTCGAACATATATCATAATCTTACTGGTTTATCCTTTTTATTTTTTTTTTAGCTTTTCTCGTGTTTTATGTATTTTCTATCATTTATTAAAGTTTATACATTATTATGTCGTGTTACTGAAATGAAACTAATGATGGTGATAGATTTATCACCAAAACGCTGATAGACTTTTACAATAAATGTCCTAATTAGATCTCTTAACTCTCCCGCCAAAGCAGGGTAATCTAAACATCCACTAAATCATCTTTCCAGACGTGTGCTAATATCAGTTAGACACCCTTCGATTGCAGCATCCCCCACTTTCAGAGTGCAGGCACTGCCCTTTTCCCTCCAGAATTCAAGTCCGGCTAACCGGTTTTCCCGGATCCCTTACGTTACCCTGCTCACATTCCAACAGCATGTCCATTTAAAATCACTTATTTCCATGAACTCGTTACTCGCTCGCACAAGCCTGCTGGATGCTAAATCCCTTTTAACTCGAAGCCTCTTGTAACCCCTCCTTCCACCCATTTCTGGGACGATCCATTTCCCTGCTACCTTCCACCCCAGATTTATACATCCTCTTCCTTAACTTATCCCTCTCCATATGCCCAACCCCCTATGAATTATACCCTTGATCACCCCATATCGCCTTTTAATGTCTACGTTCCGAATTCTCTTCATGATATTCACACCACACATTGCCCTCCAACATAACATCACTGCCTTTTAGCAGCATTCAAAATTCATGCCTCACCCCCTTATAAAAGTATTAGTACCGCTATACTCTGGTACATTCCTTTTTGTACTAAAGTGGTAAAAATACTTTTATATGGGTGTAAGACATAAGTTATGAATGCTGCGGCGAAACGAGGGTATAAATATATATATTATATTTATATATATATATATTAATATTATATATATTTTATATTATATTATATATATATTAATATATTAGTGTGTGTGTGTGTATACCGAATTTACCTTAATCCTTACTTGTGTAGCTATTCTTAAATTAATATACAGTATGAATGAGTTGCGGCCTTATAATATCTAGGCACAGTTATATCTTAAACTAAGTCCTTCAGCCAGTGAAGCATCTCGTAGCCCTGTGCATCAGTGGGAAGCCAACAACCGTCTTCTCAGGTCTTCAAAATGCTATAGCTTTTTAACTCTTTGTCCATGAGATATATATCTTTATTTTTGTCACTGTACAGTTTATTTGTAAGACTGATGTATATTTGCATATTTCTGTATGTGTAAAAAAACACTTCTGCATAATATGGTTTTTATGTTGTGCCAAACAATCTCTCGACAGTAATATAGGGATTTGAGTGCTGTATTCTGAGCAAGTTCCTCCGCACACTTTAGAAGTTAACGCGCTCAAATGCACACATTATCAACCAACGATACTTAAAAAACATGCACGTTGTCACACCACTAGACAAATAAAAATAAATTTAACGCTGAAAATAAATTACCTCTTCCTGGAGCTACAAATTAGTACCGTAATTTTTATTACTCTTTAGGTCTTTATTTTCATATCTGCCGAATTGATGGCACCGGTCCTACTGATCAAGAGCGTAATTAAAATATTTGGCATGTGCAAGCGTTCAGCTGACGACATTATTGGAGACATGCATGTGAAATGGGGTACATAGGTGAATGAAGGTTGAAAGGACAATTTTTCAAGATTTGGTTGGAGAACCTCCTCAGAATACAGACTTGTTTGTTTCCAAGAGTTTGTGTTGTGATTTAAACAAGGCAACAGCAGCAACCTTATAAAAATATGTGGTCACTGATTGTTAAATTCAGACGGAATATACAGTCTACTTTTTTAATGACATTTCTAAAAATATATATATTAAGAATATGACAGTTCCGTTCTGCTGCTGTCTGTCCTGGGTCAATCGTGTTATCCAAATGGCATTTTTTAAAAGGAGGCTAATGTGAAAACTATTTATCTGGCACTGAGGCTACTCTCTGTGGGTGAGCACTAGCCCAGGATCACGACACAAACTTGCGGCGGCTCTCCCTACACTACACCGCACCAATATTAACTTCTTGGTTTTGAGTGCGTATCTTTATTTAAAGCGCTTTAACTCATAAGCTGGTGTCCTTTTGTTAATGAAGCAATGTTGATGTAGGGTAGTGCGGTGGGCCGCCGCGCCGCGTGCGATAGTTATGTATATCAGAGGGAGACACAGCAGCCTCGCTCCTGCACCACCACCACTACCACCAGGATAAAGCCTCCACACAGTCATAAATATTATTGATGCATACATCAACACGTAAATATGAAGCAAATTTTAAAAGAAAATTTAACAGTTACATTATGGAGTATCGTAGATTATATGCACGATAAGTAAATTATGAGTGAATAGGCAAAAGTGGAGTTTGCCCAGGGCCCTGCAGTATTAAACTGCTACTGGGAAAGGAATGAGAATTGACTAGTACGATATTATCTCATTCCTGGAGTTAACCTAGATATAATGGCAGTTTTATGCCATATATAAAAAAATATTTCAATGGTGTGTGTGGCATTTCCCTGGGGTGCACGAGTACTGGCCTGCTGCTGTTCCCTGAAGCACCAGTCAAGTCATGTAGGTGTCTCCACGGCGCTCTGTACATATTTGCTGCTGACCTCTATTTCTATTTTATATTTACATGTGCCACGTGTACCACAGATGATTCATTATATCAAATAAATGTATTCGTAATAGGAAACTGCTTTGTTATTACCCTCTAATTTTGTGGGAACTTAACCCTTCATTCTACTCACCATTCTGCCTGAACAAGAGACGGGGTAATCAGCTCAAGAAACCAGATATCAAGCACTGAACACCTCCCTCCCAGTAACTCAGAAATCCCAGACTAGGTCTAAAAACTCAACTTCAGAGGGTCCATAAATAGGAACTAGTCAGGCGAGGTAACTCGCACACTTATATTCACTTAAACTAAATGAACAAAGAAATTTTGTACTTACTGCCATTCAATGGCTCAGGTTAGGTAAGGAAGAAACTAGGCAGATGTATTTGAGGAAATAACGCCTAACCTGCAAATAAATATAAATTAGTGACGTTAACTTCAAATATAATACGTACGGAAAATATGTAAAGGAGCAGTAAACTGCTTAAACTGGTCTGCAATAACAGGCTTCATCAAATTTCGTTTATCTATTATGATTTAAACATCAAGAGAATGGTGACAGCCCGAAGTGTAACGTCAAATTCGCTTATAAGAAAATGAGAATTGTTCCATGTACAGGTATATCAATGCGTCAACATAAAAATAAACCTTGAAATATATATATAAAACACTGTGCTGAATTACACAAGATTAATTAACATTGACTTCCATCACCTGGGATGCTTGTAATATCGTTTAAACGCAACCTTTACCAAAAGATATTGCTAATACCGACCCCTTTATATGGAGGGGGAGGGATCTCCTGAAGTTGACTCCTTGACTAGGGAAAAGTTTTAATATTAGGACTTGTATCATTTATACTGACACTGAACCAAGAATTCTATTACCTATATTGCGAAAACTTGTGCACTTTTGTCTTCGCTATAAATTTGTTAACCAGTACTAAAACTTCGCATTCAGTTTGACTAAGATCTATATTATTTAGATAAGTTATTTTCTTGTCCGAGGATTATAACCTTAAATTTGTCCGCAATGAACTGCATCTGCCACTTCTCCAGCTACAACATCGACTTGTCCAGAACATATAGCTTTCTAGTGTCCTTTCCGGAAATGATAAGACGACTAATTTTAGTGTCATCGGTAAATTCACTAATCTTCCTATTTGTTCCCTCATCTGTTTCGTTTATGTAGATTATGAACAAGGACCCCAATATTGACCCCCGTGACAGATTTCTCTCCATTTATGGACACTTGCATATCTGTCATCCATGCCGCAACCCAGGAGATAACTTCTATACTATATGCTGCTACTTTCTTCTTCAGTCTCCTGTGTGGAATTATCAAAGCCCTTACATATACACAATGTCTTGTTATTTATCTTTACCTACCACTCTAGGGAGAAAAAGTTAGTAAATTCGTACGGAGAGAATGCTTTCATTTAAGACCGTGCTGAAATTTATTCATCAAATTATATTTATCAAGGTGGCTTCAAACTGCACCCGCTATTATTGATTCCGACTTTCCCACAACTGAAGTTAGGATGATTGGTCTATAATTTGAAGCTAAGGACTTCTCTCTCATTTTGTAAACCTGTATCACATATGCCATTTTACACTTATCCGATATCCGTTTGTAGTGATCGGTTGAAGTCTAGCTAATGGTTTATTATAATCAAGGGGGAAGCGCTAAACCCGTAGGATTATACAGCGCCTGTGGGGGGGATGGAAGGTATTCAGGGAACTGGAGCACAGATCCAGTTCCCTAGATCAAGAGCCCCTCACCAGCATCAAGGAACCTTCCTTGAGGGGTAATGGTTTAAAATCCTTTAAAACCCTTGAATGGAATTTTTCAGGGCCCGGTGACTTGGCTTCAATCTATCCAGTTATTTGAGGACTATGTCACTTGTGCCTTATGATCGTGCATAATTTATTCTCGTCCTGACTTTGCATACTGATTTCTAGAATTTCACCTGCATCCTCTTGTGTATAAACGAAAGATGAAATCTGTTAAAAATGGTATACATTTTTGTCACTAAGCTGACCTGGGTTAAATTCGTGGGCCTATTATATTCCTAATTTTCTACAATTTTTTTTTTTACGAGTCCCAGATACTTGCCACTGACACAGAATTCTTAGTACTCAGTCCCCTTTCCG